TACCTACTGTGCCTGCAAAGAGGTCTCTTCAAGGCATGTATACCCAATGATAACAGCAGTGTGACCTCAGAAGAAAAAAACCATAGAATTCACAACCAACTAAATTTTGAGAAGACTTCAGTCTCATATTGGCACATAGTTTAGTTTAATTATTAGATAAACCTCTGCTTTCTTAGATTGTATTTGCAAACTCTGGAAAGGTCAGGCAGTATATCCTGCTTTATCATACTTCTATCCCTTCTGGTTTACCTTTCACTTCTGCTGTATTTTAAGAAAAGGTAGAATAGAAAATCTGCCATTTTGATTTTTAAATATTTTTGAGAAACTGTCTTTACTTCTTTTCAAATAATGTGTCCAAAAGTTTATAGTTCCTGCAAATTAACACCCCTATTCAAAGCAGTTAGGAAAGGATAATTTGTATGCTTCTAAAGAACGAGAGGTGGGAGAAAGCTCATTTCTTCTGATAGTTTTGGGAACAGATTTTTCCTAAATAGCTTCACAGAATTCTTTGATTGTTTCATTACCTTCTGTGCCAAAGGTAGACAGTTGCAGAGATATTTTGTACTAAGTCTGATGAAAGTGGCAAATATTTAGTATTTTTATTTTTAAGATGACTACTAGTAAGATTTTCCAGACTTAAATGTGCCCTGCAAGAATAGAAGGGGACACTGTTGAACAGAGAAGAAACAAATTCTTCTTATTTTTATCTATTAAAATATGAGAGCATTACAACAGCTCTGGCTTTAATTTTTTTTCCTCTACTTCTTCTACATATGAAAGTCAGTACTCCTGCATATACTACTGATGTATCAGTAATCTCTTGCACAGTTAATCTGTAAAAATTACCATTTATGCTTGACTTAAATTCTTTCAAATTCTGTGGTGCCATCGACAGCCTGGAAGGAAAGGATGCCATCCAAGAGTGACCTTGACAGGCTTGAGAGGTGGGCCTGTGCAAACCTCATGAAATTCAGCAAGGCCAATTGCAAGGTCCTGCACATGGGTCAGGGCAATCCCATGCACAAATACAGGCTGGGCAATGAGTGGACTGAGAATAGCCCTGAGGAGAAGGACTTGGGAGTATTACTGAAAACTGTCTACAAGCCAGCAATGTGCACTCACAGCCCAGGAAACCAACTGCATCTTGGGCTGCTGCTCTCGTGAGACCCCACCCGCAGTGCTGTGAACAACTCTGGGGCCCCAACATAAAAAGGACACAGACCTGCTCGAGCAGGTCCAGAGGAGGCCATGAAGATGATCGGGGGCTGGAGCACCTCCCCTGTGAGGACGGGCAGAGAGAATTGCAGATGTTCAGCCCACAGAACAGAAGGCTCTGGGGAGACTTTACATCAGCCTTCCAGTCCTTAAAGGGGGCTACAGGAAAGATGGGGAGGGACACTTTCTCTGGTGGTGTAGCGATAGGAGAAGGGGTAATGGTTTTAAACTGAAAGGGGGTAGATTTAGATGAGATATAAGGAAGAAATTCTTTTCTGTGAGGGTAGTGAGGCACTGGCACAGGTTGCCCAGAGAAGCTGTGGCTGCCCCCTCCCTGGCAGTGTTCAAGGCCAGGCTGGATGGGGCTTTGAGCAACCTGGGCTAGTGGAAGGTGTCCCTGCCCATGGCAGGGGGTTGGAGCGAGATGGTCTTTGAGGTTCCTTCCAACTCCAATCGTTCTATGCTTCTATGATACAATTTTTAAAATGCTATCAGAAAAAAATCCTAGGCTGAGTAACAGCTAAAATGTGCAGAGGCTTCTAAAAAAGGAAGAAAGAAAGACAAATAAAGCTTATTTTCTTGCCAATTAAGCAAAAACATTGTTACATATCTGCAGAAATGCATCTGAAAAACTTACTTGAACCTACACATTATTCTCTCCAAAGGATCTTTCAGCATTTGACAGGTTGACTTGTTCCCATTGTTTGACATTCGGGTCTCCTGCTGAAGTAGACTTACCCAGGCACTTTGCAAATGCCTACGGTGTTCCATTAAGAACTGCAGTTTTTCCTGTAACATCACCTGAGAAACACTGGAGAACTGATGCAAAAGTACTTTTGAGCAGTGTGTGTGTGTGAGTGGCCTTGACATGAATAAGATAAGCACTAATGACTTAACCTGCTTATCATTTTAATTTCTTATTCAATATACTTTGTCTGAACTTTTGCAACAAGAATGACACCTACTGCATAAATGTAATTATAATTACTCTGTTGTATGGAGTAAATACACTCTTATAAGCAGCCACTTAGTGATAGAAATGAGTAGAGAAGGGAATAAACCCTAGAAAAAAAATTTCCTGGATTTTTCCAACAATTCCTTTCAGACATTTTTCTAAGAAAATAAGGAAACACTAAATCCCTTCACATCTACATTAATTATCAGCTCCAGCTGTGATTTCTATACACATAGCAAAATTTAACTACTGTACTTCTGTACAGACAGTCTTGACTCAGTGTTGATGTGAATTCTTGGAGAATGCAAGCTTTGATTCTTGCATGTGCAGTCACTTTACGCTCATTTTTGTAGAAATATGTAAAAATAGAAACAAAACAAAGCAAGAAATTTACATTACTGTGAAGAGTTTATCAAGTCAAACAGAAAAAGAACTTGAATCTAGCATTCTGAAATCCTACAAGCAGACAGACAAATATTTATAAATACATACACATCTGTGTGGATATTCAAGAAAAATACACAAAATCATACACATACAGATATTCTGAAAATCAACAGGTATCAGACAGTCCTTAGGTTGTATGAACTGCAAAATCTGTTGCAAAATTAACATCTGCAAGATTGAAATCTTAGATCTAGAGTCAATTTTCTAGAACTAGAATACTTGGGGATAACAACAAAGGACTAACTGCACAAACATCTGCCCTTACCTGCTAATGGACTGAATTTTCTTAATGAAATTCAGGCAACATGGCATCTCATTCAAGCTATGAAGTTAATGTTTACAGTTGCTAGAATGCTATACATACCTTAGCCCAGTATTATGTTAACTGTTAATATAAGATTACTTAGAACTTTATGATTACATATGGAAGCTTATTTTTGGTTATTAGTAATTTTTACACTCTTGAATTAAGAGTCTCCTTAAATCCAGAGATTGTCTCAATATTTTTGTTTTTCATGGTTCATTTGCTTCTTTTTTACTTTCTATCTGTACAACAAAATTCTAAAATCTGAAGTAACAGAAGTATTGAAAGAAACATTGACAACATTGATCTTTCTAGTGAAAAAAAATATTTTTTAAAAATGTCGTTTCCCTTGAAATATCTTAAAACTTCACTTCTAGATAGTATTTCTTATAAAAAACCACATAAAACTCCACACAAATGTGTGCTATACAACCATTTGATCTGTTTGAATCATGGTCCTCTCTCTAAAACATGTGTATCCTGCAGTGACTGTGTAGGTTCTTTACCTCCTTAATTTTCATTTGGCAAGTAGCCCAAGCCTCTGCTTTAAATTTCCCACTTGGTAGCACTAGTATGGCACCTGAAGAGTAATTAGTTGTAAGAAAGGGAATTTGAATTGTTTGCTGAGAAGGAAAAAAATGTGCATGCCTAATAAAGATTTTTCCTTGAGTACCTGCAACAACATTTATTTATTTCTGCTTAGAATGCACCACCCTTTAAATAGACCAGTGACTATTTTTTTTCAAACTTTCCAGAAAAACTGAGTCAAAGAAAACAGGTTTAGTTTTAAGATCATGCTATTTCGCTTTTTTTTTTTTTTTTTTCTTTTAAAGTTTTATTTCTCAATTTATCTCCTATGGATACCTAAGGTGTAGTCTTCTAGGAAGGCAAAACATGAAAATGTCTGAGCAAGCAGAATATTTTACCTAAATTACACATATAATTCTCTATGAAGTTCATACTGTCCATGAAACTTTACATTATGATACTGTTTGTGAGATAGGCAGATCTCCATTGGTTCCAATGACCTTGGAAACTCTTTTTGAACATTACATTACATATATAGTTATGCAAAATGAGTAACAGAAATGCAGTTTTCCCTTCTTCAGAAATTAGCAGTTCCCCAGCCCTAAGAAAGTGCAAAGTGCTGCTCCTGATACTGCTTTCTGCCTTCTGTGCAAAGACAGAACTGTAGAGAAGTTTGAGGGGGAGGGGATTTGATTTCTTTTTTAATGTCTGCCTCCTTCCAGCAAGTCCATCTGTTGTAGCACTATAATTCTGGAAGCAGGATGTGTGTGTGACCAACAGGAGACAATTACTGCAAAAGTGTTTGTTGATTCAGCTCTATAAAGGGCAGGCCAATCACTACAGTATGAATAGAAAAGAATTCCAGCTGAGGAGCTGCATATAGATTAACACAAAATACATATATATAAATGAGAATGGGGAAAACCAGAGAGGAGTAACAGTATGGGAAAGGATTAAGTAGGAATGAAGACTGAAGTAGAGAAGAAAGCTGGCATTTTTGGGGATGTTAACTAAACAGTTTACTAGTCTCTATTTTCATAAATCTTCTCTAGCTTTCCACCTTGACAGAGACAGATGGGATAAAAAGATATGGAACTGGTCTGAGTCCCTTTTGGAAGAAAACTCCAACTGCCTTGAGCACTCCACTCTTGGGGCATTCAGAGACAGTTGGTCTCTCCAAAAGTGCTTGTTATTCATAGAGGAATGGGTGTTAATTCATGTGGATGGACCAGACTCTCAGGAAAGCTCCCAGAACACTGGCTAGAAGTGAAACTTCCCTCACCCATTTGAAAGCAGGTAAAATGTCAGCACGAGGACCACTTCTTTTTCAGAAGGATTAATGAATTCTGTTGATACAATAGTAAATCAGGCCACAATATCATTTGTACATAGTAACTGATTCAGAATTTCATATAAAGCATGTTACTATATAACAGTTCATAATTTTGATCATAAGAAATTAAGGGAGAAAAATTAAAGTTACGAAAATGCCAAAGAATTACAACAGAATTAAACTCAACATTGTAAGACACCATAATGAAAAGTATTTACCTCTATGGTCACTTTACTAGTTTGAAGTTTCTGATCAGCCAAATGTAGCCGAGTTGTTAGTTTTTCATTCATTTCTTTAAATCCCTTCAGAGAAGACACTGCTGTCTTCTTTTCATTGTGTAAAACAGTTATCTGCTGCTGCAGTGACTTAATTCTTTCCTGCAGTAGAGTAACAGAGTAGCCTGGTTTCTGGACAATGGTATTTCTCCTTTTTGTTCTGTTGACTAAACATAAAATGGCATGTTACTAAACTGACAGATCATCATAACTAAGACAATTTCTGATTTTTCTTTGGCCCTTCAAAACACTGTTCTATCCCCTAAAGTACTTCTCAGTGAGCAAACTGGTAAATTAATTCAATTCACCTATAACTGCTCTATGTTGGTTTTTTTTTCCAAATTGCCAACACTGAAAACTCAACAAGAACTTGAAAGTTAAATGTGGCTCAAGTTTCTGATTGGTATTACTGGAAATAAAGGCTTCAGCATCTTGTTAACAAGGTTTTTTTTTAAGGTCCAAGATAAAATATAGTTAATTTTGTTTCATTGGCTGTGGTGGCTAAAAGGGACAAACAAGAACATAACATAGTGAAAAGCCTTATTTCAGTCAGTAGATTCAGTAAAAATAGAGTGTATTTTAACTGTGCAAAAAGATGCTGTTTGACAGTCACTTTTTATACAATTTCACTATAAAATAATGAGCTAAATCTGAAAATATACTTAAATTTAAACAACCAAATCCTGTAACAGCATGTAAGTGGGTTTGTGTAATATATAGAAGAGGTTTTGGAATACCAGGCAGGAATGCTTTGTCAATCTCACTTATAAAGTTGGCAAAAACCCCATAATATACCTACCTTTGCTTAGAATTAATGGATAAGATGTTCTAGAACAGCAGATCTTTCTCCTCTTGGAATGTAACTTTTCTAGGTGTTTTTTCTTTGAATGGCCCTAAATAAAAGAAGCACAGGCTAGTAACCCTCCATTATGGCACACCAACCACAATACTCCAAAGTCTTCCAGTTTAAACTGAAACCACAAAAAATACTTCAAATAATACAGGCAATTCTAAGCAATTTAAATTTGAAAACCAGTCTTACAACATCAGCCATCAAAGATTACAAATTTCTGTCTTTTCTATCAGATGCCAAAAACACAAAGAACTGTTACGGGTAAATCATAACCCTTTCCAAAGAATCCCAGAGAAAAATTAAGTGTCTGTTAATGCCTACATTTTTTTCTTTTTTTTGATAAGATACGAATTTACTTGTAGGAAAAAAGATGGTGTATATTACTTGAAAGCCTGTAACATCCTATTTTTCAAGATATTTAAGTGAAAATTTAAAGGAATAGCAGACTTACTAGTTCAAAAGGAGGAATATCAGATTAGAATATTGAGCTGTAACTGGAAGATGCATGAATATACATGGAAATATATGAATATATATGTTCGGGTTGACATAGTGCTTAGGGATCTGGTGTAGTTGAGAACAGCCAGTGTTAGGTTAAGGGTTGGACTAGATCTTCAAAGTCTTTTCCAACCTAGATGATTCTGTGAACATGCAAATACAATCCCTGTGTTTGCACAGGGTTTAACAAAAGTCAGCTGCATGTCTTTTAAATATATGATTTGAAAAATCTTCTATTTCTAGAACCAGTCAAAATGTTCACTGACAAAAGCAGAGACTGAAGAAGAATGCTGCTTGCAATATGTAAAATGAAAATGGCCAGAACACGGCTTACTCCAAAATCAGAGTACTATTTCCCTGTCTCTGAAATGCTTAGTGTATTCTGAAACACTTTTATTCTGGATCTCTCTAACATTTATCTAGTTTTTTAAGTCTTAAGTTCGCAATTTCTATGTGATACCATGTATCTGGAAATATTCAAAATTAAAATAGCTCTTCGTCAAACTGAATAGAGTAAACAGCAACGTATCATTTACTAAATGCACTGAATAAATTACTGACATTGTAAGATAGCTTAGCCATTGATTCTAGATTCACAAAATCATTGCGTTATTTGAAGGGTGGGGCAATAGGATATGCTAGAAAAAAAAGAAAAGAAATTTAAGTGCCAACTTTTCAGACTAAAACCAAAGCAAAGAAAACAAAGGTCAAGCTCTTGTAGGTCTGTCTCCTTTGAGCAGTCTCTTAATTATTTTATTCCATGTCATAAAGACAACAATGGAAACCAGTACTCAGACCTTATCAGTATGATGCGAAGATCCTACAACCACTGAAGACATGGAATTGGATGACTGATGCTAGCCTGAAATGGTGATTATATGCTACAGAAAACAGCTCTCAGCAGATGATGGGCAAAATAGATGGAGACATCCACTCTAGGCCACAGCTCTGATAAATGTACGAGCTGTAAGAGAGTGTCAATTACTCTCCTGACACTGCACGGGGTCTTATACATTTATACTGCATGGGGCAAAACTGAGAAAGTCCTTGTGTCATAAATAATCTCATCTCCAACACCAGGCATAGCTCATGAGTCGGGAGATTTGTCTAGCCTCTCTTTGTATGAGAATACCATGACCCAGCTGGAGTGTCCTTAAATCCTCAGGAGGATTTAAGATTTCTGTTAAAACTGGTGTTCCCAATTGTCAATACTAAGCCTTTTTGCAATACTATCTTCTGTATACACAAGCCTCTGCAACAGGGGACTTCTGCTGAACCATATTTACCTGCTTAGGGCTCTTGGGATGCTTCCTGTGTATGCTCCAAGAGCACCAGTCTGTTACGCATGTGTATCAAAATATATCTGTGTTTGTCCTTTCCAGTAGGAAGAGAGTTCATACAATATAGAAAAACAGTAGAGGTGCTGGCTGTGTCTACACTACCAAGCGACAGCAAAGCCTCCTGGATTCCCTGCCTTGTATATACTCACTTAGGAGCAGTAGGAGATAACAAGAGTTATCTGTCAGATTTTCACATATAACATGCACCTGCTCATACTGTGTATTCTATACCAACAGATGGTTGCAGAAGAATTTATCTTTTTTTTCAGCTCTTCTGCCAGAAAAATAGATCTTTTGATGGAAATATAACAGAGAATTTGTATTTAGTTTAAAGTTTTGGAGACTAATAAAATATATCTGTTTTCAAACTCTTTATTATACCACCATACATAACAGAATTTCAAGCTAGTTTTCCAACAGCAGAAAGTTGTTCAGTGTTTCAGTATTTTGTTTCTTGATCTAAGAAACAACAGTATCTGCTGGTGTTTTAAATTCCATGAACTCAGGTGATTTATTTCGGTAAACACAGGAAGGAATAAATATTAAGCACTCTTCAAAAGTCCAAAAATGAGTTGTCTGTTATAGATTGTACGGAGCCTCTAAAGACTTTGAAAATGAGCAGCTGGCCCTCCTCTCTGACAAAACAGCATACAGATGTTAGCAATGTGACAAGGGGTTCAAATACTCAGACAATGAATGTAAATAGGCTAAGCAGCATCATAAAAGCACACTTTTCTCTATATAGAAACTCCTGGACAGAATCAAAAGCATCTTTCTAAGATGGAGACAACTCTTTCTGCACATTCTAAATGAACTGAGAGATGTTCATGCTTGATTAGCCAGGACATCATTTTGCTAGAGGGGAGGAGGGGATGTTGCTGCTTCCTTGTTATGGGTTCACCCTGTTCTTTATGGCTTTTGTGATGGACAGAGTTTAACAGGATGGCTGCAGCAGTCTTAGTCTAGCCTATGAGAAAGCAGGACTAACTTACAGCAGCTTTAGCTTTTTTAATCATCTTTTGCACTCCTGACAGGCCCGCCAAATACTTTTGCAGTCTGATCGTTCAAAAAATATTCTAAATGATAGTAAAACTATTCACTGAATATCTGGAAGTATATTTTCTTTTCAGTTTAAAACACGTCAAATTAATTAAGGGAACAGCAGTGATAATACTAGCTATTAAACACTGCACAGGAGAAAAAACCAAGTACTATTACATACCTTTTTATTATACCACTGGTTTTTGCCTTCTAAATGAACATGGTTGCAAGGCTTTTGACTACCTTGTATTTGCTTTATCCCCTGTTGTTTACGTCTATCTGTCACTGGATCAGTGTTTTGAACTGTCTTCATAATCACTGTTGCCAAACTTTCAGAAGTTGGTACTTCAGAGTCACTAAAATAGCATATTCAGGAAAACAAGACAAAACAAAGGTAAATGTTGAAAGTTCCAAACAGCCAATGCTTTAGTACTCAGAAAATAACGCATGCAAGAAAGAAGATCGAGTAATATAAATTTCAAATGGTGCTAAATTGACTTATTCAACAGATGTTTACAAATATGATAAAGAAGAAATCTCTGAAACAGTCTTACAAAGTTCTACTCTGTCAAATGGAATCTCAATCTACAATGCACAGAGGTCTGAGACTTCATTTGCTTCTTAATGGATAGCTTTTGTTACAGTCTACAAAAGTGATATACATGAAAAACTACTTAATAGTACTTCTAGGCTGTGAATGGCTCACAAAGATACAACACATTTCTACTTACCTTCACGTTCACATTTGATAACAAAACAAATGCACAGTATTTCACTCAGTAACATTTAGTTTCAACTGAGCTTTATTTGCAATGTTGACCAAGACAAACTCAGAAATCACACTTCATGAAATGTCTGCCAAGCACCCCTTTGCAGTGCTTTTAAATTCGGTAAACTTGGTAGTCCTTCTACTGAAATTGCCTGCCATGCAGAGAAACTGGACCTGAAACTTTCATTCTACTTCAAATTTTTCCTTATACTTGCACTCAATATGCTCTTAATTTTCAGTTTTTCACTGCCTTGCCTCAGATTATAATTTGTTTTCTGATATTCAGTGAAGTCTATCTTAAAACATGAAGTCTTGGATATATCATTTTCTATACCATCAGTGGCTATTCAGCATCATTTGTGCAACTGGATTTGTGAAGGAATCCCTTGATAGAAAGTAATTTTGATCTGTTATTTCTTAAACCAAGACATTTTAAAAGGCCCAACTGAGTTCAAATTAAGTTGCACCATCATAAAAATCAATGGTTTAGAGATGGAGGTTACTTAACCAGAGAAAAGAGCTCAAATTGAAGAGAAGAGCTCATATAGAAACATGTTTATACTTTCCAAAACCTGTCCTGACACACTGGTATGTCTTATTGACTGGTAAGAACAGAAATCAGTGTAATAGTTTGAAGGTGCTGCAGTAACACAGAGATATTTCTAACTACGTACACATTTCCCTCACCTAATGCTTTCAGTTAATGTTCTATTTGGAAAATTGAAGGCTTGAATCTAGAAACTCAGAGACAGCTACTAGTGATAAAGAACAGTATTTATTAATAAGTAGAAGAGAGAACTAAATGAAGCTATTTCCCTAACTTGTTGAAAATGACACCTTGAAACATCAACTCCAAAAATTTTCACTATTCTATGAGAATAATTCCCTAACTCCTGGGAATTATACAATTATCAAAAGCAGCATTTATGGCTAGACACAACTGAAGCCATACAATTACTTTCCACTTCACTTCAAACTCAAATTGCAGTGACAATTTGTTTGCTCAATTTTGTTCTTAAGAAGCAAAACACTAAATTAAATAAAGAGTTCACTAATTATAACAGAAAAACACATACCTTTTATGTAAAATCATATCTGCAATATTAAATTAAACATAAAACCAAACAAGTTTTACATTAATGATAGCAACCTACAAATTACATAGTTCTTAATTTGTTTTCTCTCTCAAGGTAACTGCATTCAGGAGCCCCCTATTTTGCATGGGGAGTATCACCACAAAGGCTTAATTTGCCACTATTGATTTGCTCCATATGACCTATAAGACCAACATGAAACCTATGAAGATTTCATTTTTTCTCTAAATTTTGGATAAATACAGACTTGAGAATTTTCTTTGCATGTCTCTTAGGACATTGAAAGACAAGGTTTGATGCCCATTTACCTAGTGGCTTACTGTTGCCTCCTCAAGTACATGTGGATAAACAGAAGAAGCAAAAATTCTAAACCTTTATGAAGCTTGCCAGTGCAATTTTCTGAGGGCCTTGTGACTCATGACTGGGACTCTGTGCAGTAACAATTACCTTTAAAGAACTGATTTTTAACCATCATTCAATTAAAGTTAGTACAATGACTGTGCATAAAACATACATGAAATAATTAGTGTGGATGGTTCTTAATTTAAAGGATGTTAAACAGCTTGTAGACATCTGCTAGCAAGCCGAAATGGGTCATTCAAAATTTATCTAACTAAATTAAGGGGAAAAAATGTTTCTCCTCCCGGGTCGGTATGTCACAAGATAACTAAACTGACTTAGTAGGCTTGCCTGGGAATCCTTAGCTGTCAGTGGTGAATATGCAAAGGGCCAGCAAATTAAATCAACCTGCCAAACTGTCAATTTCAAGCCTCATGACTGCATGAAAATAGCATCACTGGAAGAAATCAAGCATTGCCTTCTTTTGGGTTTCCTGGCACCTATTCAAATACTCATGCAGTTGTGGCTAATTTTGCATGCAAATTTCAGTCAATAAGCTCAGAACAAGACCTCCCAAGATATTTCAAAGGATCTGACAGTATTTTTTTTGAATACCAAATCAACAGTAGTTGAAATTCAATCTCCATTTGCTAGTGCTTTACATATGCACAGTGTCCCCTCTACAGGGCTAAGTTAATGAGAGCCGTACCTGCTTTCACTCATATCCTCCCAGCCGTCCTTACTGAAGTTCTCAAATACATTACTCATAACCTTGATGGACTGTTTGAGAAAAGCTCCATGATGTCCCAAAGAGCTCTTTTTCTTGGCTGTTTTTAATTTAACCTTGGTGCCTGTTATCTTGCAATTACATTGCCCAGAGGTTGCCATTGCTTTGGCTTCATCGAGCAAACACTTCAGTTCTTGTACTTGACTCAGCAAATCTTCATTTTCACTTCTCAACCTTTTAGCTTCTGCCACTTGCCTCTTCAAAGAGGCAGCTTCTTTTTCCTGCTCATCATTCACTAACTGAAGTTCCGCTTTGTCTTTTTTAATTTCACAAATCCTCTTAAGTAGCTCTCTTTCTCTTGTGTCTGCATCTTCCTTTTGCACTTTTAAAGATTCTTCCAAATAATTTTTCTCCTTCAATAAGTCTTTAATTACTTCTTTCTGTTTCTTTAATTCCCCTTCAACAGCTTTGAATCTTCCTTCTAGTTGTTGTACCTAACAAAAGCAATTTTAGCATTTATAATATTTCAGACTATTCAGTAGAAAAAAACCCTTTAGTTTCAAATGTATTTATTGTATGACAATATTACATCAAGCACAAGGTCAATAGCAATCTATGGTCCTTAATTTTAAAATAATTCTAACATAGTGCAGATGAAAACATTTTAGCTGCAATAATACAGATGTTGAACAAAGGGCAAATGGTAAAAGAAGTTAAAATTCCAGACAAAGTGACACAGAAGTTTAAGTATGCTAATGAACCTTCCTGATGCATCTTGAGCTCATTGCTGATTTGGTTATACATAATAATTGAATTTAAAAAAACATTTTCAGAAGAAAAACTATTTTGAAACGCAGGCAATTTTGCACTAGCTATCTAAATCAACAAGGTCTTTTAAGTCTTGTAAATAGACAATTAAATATTAATTTGATTTTCCAAAAACCCCCAAACAAATCATAGTAAGAGTTATCAGAAGCTCAGCACCTAAATATGAAGGCTGAAATGTATTTTCTATTCACAGAAAGGGAAAATCTATCCTGTTCCAATAAAGCCACTTTACAAGCTTCTCATATATAGTCTGAAGGAGCATATTCTACCTATACATGATGCATATGCTTTGTTTGCAAAGTCCTTTGAGGTTTACACCTATTCAAGGTCATTAACAATAAACCAATATACACTGTTATGGAATATTTGCTTAAAGTTACAACCAAACCCCACGATTTCCATAAATAAGGGGCAATTTTTGAGATTTCCTCAGAAGCTGGCAAAGGACATCTGAGTGTGTTTTGTGCTCAGTAACCACTTAGTTATTTTGGAGAAATACAGTTGGTTGGTTTTGTCAAGCTTCATCCCCACTCTTTCACTAGGGAAAGTTCCAGGTGCTCCCAACTTTTCTGGACATGGGTAGAAAAGCTTATTTTTCAAGGAGTTGTAGTAGAATGTACGTGTCCAACTTCAGCTACTCACCTTACAAAATACTGGCCAATTCTATCACTTTGTAGCAATACAAAAAGTCAGAACTTGCTTTCACATTGAAAACAGTGAAAACATAGTATTTCTCAGTAAATGCTGGATGGTTTTGCAGGACACTTTGCCAATGCATTTAAATTAATTTAAAACTTATGGAATGATTTACAAAGTGAGTACTACAGATTTGATTCTGATAAATGAGAGGTCTTAACATACAGAATAAATAAGGGCAAAAGCCACTCAAACTTCATATACATTTATGAATTTGATATTGAATTTGTGAGTTTGATAGCAAACCTTTAATATGCATGCCTACCCATTGTTACCTTCCTTTACAGAAATTCATATCATTCCCACAATGGTGAGATTACTTTATGGCTACATAAAGTTATTGGGTGAAATTAGAAATAAAAGCATTTCTTCCAAATGCTTCAGTGAAACCAAGGGTTAAGATTAAAATCACAGTTTGTAGTTTCCTCTCCAGAGATAAGGAGTTAGACCAGTACCTTTCTTCATCTATCTTCCTAAACTGAGAATCTGCTATTATATCCTCAGTTCTTTAAAGCAACCTTTTGCACTCACTAGCACTTAAAGTCATGTATGACAGCTGTAAGGAAACAAACAATGAATAGATTCTACACCTGTCCCTAAGGCACCATCATAACTTTGTATATCCATAGAGAAAAAAATTATGTAGTAGCTGGCAAACAAAATTATAGTTCTGAAATATAGATGATAAGCAAGCATAAACTGTGTGACATTTCAGATGGTAGCACTCATATTATTTCAATTACTCACTCTACCTTAAGATAAATGAATGTGAGCACTTCCTATTCTGTGTGTTATTATTTTAACATGATGTTTGTCATTCAGTAATAACGAGATGACAGCCTTCATTGCCTGACCATATGGCAAGTGTTACAAGTATATGCAATCACATCATCTGCTGTAAATTACCATACTTCCTACAAGTTAATTCACAAATAAAAAATAAATAGACATACCCAAATTGACATTCAAAGTTATAGATTTGTGTTTCTTCAATTTAAGCATGCTTTTAAAGATTTATAAGTAATTAAACAAATATTGTTTTGCAAAATGACAAACAAAAGGCATGATACTGTTTGAAGGATGTCTTTTCTTTGCAGCAGACAAAACATATGGTAAAATACAAGTGAGCCCTCTTAAGTGAACACCTGTTAACATACTAAACTACTTGTGTATATTACAAATATCAATACAAATAGCAACTAGTTAAGAACATCTTGTTACTGTATAAGGTAGAACATGTAGAATATTGAGCAGTAAAGATTAAATACTCATCATATTTCCTAAGCCAAAGAATACTAAATGCATGCAGTACTATCTTGTGAAAAGAGTGATAAACCCACATATGTAGAAAATATTTGCATATGCAATGTTGTGCTAAAATTTAAATATAGCAAAAGGTGGATTTATCACTATTGTGCATCAGTTTTCTTCTGTAGCAAGAGCTCTACAGAGATTAACACCTGATATCATGTGAAGTTAAATACTCAGCAAAAGAAACAAAGGTTTCTGAACTTAAAAGTGGTAAAATGCTAAGCATATGTTACTTCCAGTCAGATAATTTGTTAGTTTTTAACATTACACCTCTCAACATTCTTTTCAGTTTCTCTGACATTAACCATGTTTATCTCACAGGATGCATTCACAGCTACTTCACTAGAATTAATTTCTGACATAGTTTTGAAAATCTATACTTTTGTATTAGGAAAGGAAAATAATGGCCTAAATGCAAGAGTACTGACTTTTATATAGATGTGATCCTTACATTAAAATTTAGATCTGTTTGCTGGGGATGGAATCTTACCTTCTGTAATGTCTGATGTGAAACTTCTTTCATATTCCTCTTTGGTGTACTGTTCTTGATCCCATTATCTTCACTAAGTTTAAAAAGTGGCTCTAGCAGAATATAAATAATACGTCTCTATCAGAGAACAAATAAAATACAGTGTGACACCTAGTATTGCACTAAAACAATACCTAGGCATTTTAAGGAAATGCATTCTTTACTTCTGCAATTATTTATAATGTGGTCTATTTTCTTGACAAGCCTTTTGGCCAGTTTCTAAAAAGTGACCTCTTTTCAAAGTGTTCTGTGACATAATTATGACTCTTTGTAGCATCAGTATGTTTTTTCAGAGTACAAGCTTTTCAAAGGTACAATAGATCTGCAGGTTAAAGACACTGTACTTTCATTCTGATTTTTATTCTTTTATAGACTATTCCCTCTATGCCTTAAAAGCAGAATTCATTGCCTTTTTATCTACACAGTCACTACCAGTTTTGTTCTCTAGGTCTTGTCTCCTGCCAGGAGGATCAGAGTGACTGGTGAACAAAGCAAACAGTAACAGAATTAGGATGGATGAAAACTTTAAACCCCTTTTTTTTGTTACGTGAAAGATCATGTACTTCACCAGATAAATCACAAAAATCATTCTATTGTAATATTGTGATTTCGTAACAATTAGAAATTGATAGAACTAATGAGAGAGAACATGACTCTAAGCATCACTCTCACAGAGAGCTATGCACTTTTTTAAAGTTAAAAATTAGATCTATTCATAGAGAAGAATGCTAAGAAAAAGTTTAGAAGTACTAATATGTATGGTAAATCTGAAGTTAAATACATTCTGTTTAGATTTGAACCAAGAGCTTAGCATTCATAAATTGCCCACTGCTCACAGAAAAGAGCAATTACTCACTTCAGAAAGACTTTTTCTTAGAGTACGAAATACTATGTTTACAAACAAAAAATCCCAACACTGTAAAAAACATTACAATATTCACATTTCTCGTCTTGCCCTTCTTCACCCCAAATTAACTTAAAGAATTAACCTTAAGGGATAAATATTTGTTCTACATAATGGAGGTCTGCTTTAGAAGTCGCATTTCAAACTACAAGCAGACGTTGCAGGTCACTTAAAAACTTTTGATTTATAAACAAAGCAAGTGTAGAAGAAAACAGTGTTACTCTCTGTAGATTCACAATCCTCTTGATATAAACAGTGACTAACAAGTTTGTTAGAGTGAATTAGACCTTTCTTTTGTCTTTAGAACATGTCATGGCTAATTAATACTTCTGTATTCATGAAATAAATGGAACAGTATTCTAAAGATAATAAAAGCTGAAAAAGGTAAAACTATGCATCTGGGGAATATGTACCTTTACCTTGATATTAATATGTTAGTTCCCATGTTATTTCAGACTACAGTCCCCCAGCACAGTGGTACTGCATACATTTACAACATTCTTTAAGGAACACACAAAGATAATATGAACATGCTTTTCATCTTTTTCTAAATATTCACTCATTTGAATGTCTGCTGTAGCTTTTATATCAGCATTTACTGTACTCCACTGAAAAGAAAAATGATTTCCCATAGTCAAAGAAACTGATCAAAGCACACAAGGTGTTATGTTTATTATGTGGATGTATTAAAATACAATTTAAAACTCTATAAATAAACATATAATATGCCAAGAATAAAGAATGCTACTGCAAAATAGAAAAAACTATGCATGTTCAGTATTATCACAGAAGTCACAAGCAACATGAATTAAAGAAAAGCCAAAGGTCACTGATGCGTAGCCCTTTCGAGCAGAAAATAAATGGCCTTTTCAGCCCTCTTCTCCCCTCCCACCTTCTAATTGTTATGTAGTTGTTCACAGGAATTTTTTAGGAAGGCAATTAAAAAGGATTGCCTGTAACTGTCTGTCTGTCTTTCTATGATAGTAGAAACATTCATGCTATCAGTCTGCTTGGCAAGACACATGCTCTACACGTCATACTCCTACATAAAAAAATACCAATTTCTTCCCCAAGGAGTAGGCCCGCAAGTCATAGATCCCACTATCTTCAGTCATCAAATTATTGTGGTCTTACAGCAGTATACTTACATCCCACCGAGGAAGCATAGTTAACTGCCAGCTTTAGAACGTAATAATTAACTCCTAATTAAGTCACCAAATCTGATGATGAGTTAGTCCAACACCGCTGGCAAAATGGTACTTGAACTACGATACTACAGTTCACTATTATTATTTGCAGAAAGCCTTATTACACAGAGAAAAACGATCAGTTTAAAAAAAAAACCAAACAAACCAGCTGTGTATTAGTCACTCATAGAGTAGCTACCTGAACCATCAAAAGAATGTATCTTTGCTTCCAGTATGCATCAGGTGAAACAATCTTCTGACAGACAGAAGCTGCCATGGTGCAGAAAGACACTGTGTTACTGACTCCAGTGCTAGCCACACATGCTCCCAAAGACATGCTGACTGTAAAAGAGCCAGTGGAAAAAAACACTGCGAAGACCAGAAGGAAATGCCATTCTCACACATGAGCTGGGGACACAGTAGATTCAGAAGAAATCTCATAATGAAAGAAGCCTTCAAACTGACTCCTTGAAAAAACAGGGGGCAACAGTTTACCTTCTTTTAATAAGGCACTTGCTATTTTTCTGAATATGATTACATGGACCCACGTTACTGCTTTTGGAGGAAATGCACAAGTACCTGCCAACACATTCTTTACATTCATACACAAATAATGATGTGAATAGCATGAATAGTGAATTTGGATTTGATCAGCAATGGCAAAAGAACACCTTGCACAACTGAATCACAAAGGAAAGAAATAGGAAATGGTAGGAGCAGAGTTTCCTTTCCCCTGACCTCCTTCATCTTTGACCAGCAGGAATTGAAAAACTATGTGGAAAAGCAACAAAGCTATCCAGTACTTCCTCCTGACAAACATAACTGATACCTAATCAAGCAAGAGGGACAGAGGCTATCTTTTTTAATACAGAGAAGCTCAGCCACTTTCTTTGCAGAATTTATTCCTTGATGTTAGAAAGCCCGATGGAAACTGGTATTGGCTAAGGTGAAAGTGAATTCTAGCATCACTGATAAGCTGAGTAAATTCATGTCAGGCTTCCTTTTAGAAAATAAATCATACTTACTAAGATTGTGAATAAAATGTATTTATATCATACCAAGTTTGGTCTTTCAGCAAATTACAGATAACAGAACTGAGACCGTACTTTTATTTAGGAAGAGGAAGGCATTTAATACCCATTTTAGGGCAGAGGATATATACACTTTCTTATTGCATGAGCGAGGACTGCTCACATACACTAATTTATGCTCAAAGATGGACATTCAGCTTCAGTCATTATTGTATAATCTTCTAGAAAATGTCAATCAACTGATAAAACTGTCCACCACACTGCAATGCCTTAGGATCTGCAAGGGGAACAATAAGGAAATTATTTTTTACAGGCTGGGTGAGCAACTATTTTTTTATACTTAATTATTTAAAGTTTGGAAACAGCTGGAATCAGCTCAGTCTTATGTGCTAACAAAATTTAATACATATCTTTAGACTTGACTCTGAATCTTACCAAAAATCTCCTGTCCATCTAAATGATAGCTATAACAACAAATGCTGGAAAAGTGTGCAAGGTTTAATTCTTGTCGGGATGAGAGAGCACGTGGCTGTTGCCCCTCCCCCACCCGCGCCGGTCGGGCTGGAAGTTAAACACAGACCCCGGCTAAAATAACAAATTTAATACAACAGAGTGATAGAACAATCTGAATAACAACAGCATCAATGGTCACAACAATAAACAGCAATAACAGTGAACAAGACAAAAGATATACAGAGAAATACCACTAAATGATCAAGGAGCAAACCCGCCCCGTGTATGGCAAAAACCAAAACCAGAAGTGAAAGGTAAAAAGGCTCCGCCCCTGGACCTGACGCCAGCATGGTATGAATAACCCGGCTGGAGATCCTTTCCCCCTCTCTCTCTGCTGGGGAAAACTCTATCCTGGCTGAACCAGGACAAAAAGGTAAATAAAATTTGCTTAACACACTTCAGTAGTAGATGAAAAATTTTTCTCAGTCTCAATATAACAATTAATCATGATGCCAATAACCAAACTAGAACTGTGTATCCACCCACCTACTTTTAAAAAAGGGTATGTTTTACTCTGAAAAGATAATGAAAAAAGAAGGAATAAAGGACTAATTGTTAAAGCACTAAACATGTCAAGAACTGGCAGTTTCAGGAATCTGACTGTTTTTTGGAAATGCATGGTTATTGCTCAGCAGGCCCTCAATTCCTTCTCACTGCTGGTTGCCTTTCCACTTCTCTCTGTGCAAAGACTGACTAAATTGGCAAAAACAAAGAAGTGATTTTTAAAGGCAGTATTTGAAACCTTCACTAGTTCCTTTCAGCTCTACCCAGGGCTATGAAAGTAACACATAAGTAGTAACACAAAAAACCCCAGTAACTTTCAGTCTTCAGCAGCTGGATATTTCCACTTAGTTTTATAGATACTATAAAACAAAATCTTTATTTTTTTCATTCAAGTGGCCAACATTATCACAAAAAAAAAGAAAACAGCCACCAGCAGAAAATTGGGATAAAGAATGGTAAGATTTTATTGCTAAAAACTTATAGAGTACTTCAAGTCTCCTACTTCATTCTTTTGCACAATACTGTGCATAAAGATTTCACCACAGTTGTGACACCCAGCTGGACTGTAACTATGGACTTTTGAATACTTCCCCAGACCATTGAGGAACAGCAAATACAAAGAATCAGAGTGATGGGTAGGCAATGGTAATATATTAACTATCCGACTGAACAGACCTATCTTCACAGAACCATCAACTATTGTAAAGATTGTAAAGATATAAAAGAAGATATTAATGATCAATTCTTGTAAGACTTCCACCATTTTGATTTACGTTCAAATTTATACTTTGTGAGACAAGTATTACAAAAGAAGTCTCAGTGAGCATGAATTTTCTGTATCACTGTACCTCAAAAACCACTGTACTGCAAAAACCATTTCAGACTCTGGAGAAAGCTTCTTAAACATATAAACATCTTTTAAATTTTACACTTATATATTAATACACATAAACATGTTTTAGATTTTACACATATATATTTATATATGTATACATAGCTATTTTAAACATAAAATAACTAATTTTTTATGTAGTATATACACACAAGTTGCAAAGATATGTAAGTGTATATCTATACAAAGAATTGTCATTGATTTAATAAGCATGTGGAGAACTTAAGGATAAACGTACTTTGAAATAAGAATATGTATGGCTTTATGGTTACAAAATACACAGTCAAGAAAAATAAATTAAACTTTGTAAAGAAAGTAACCTTAAAATTAGTATTTCTAATAGACTTCATACATACATATAAAATACTATACTTTCCCTTTTTTGTGGTAAACACAGTTAAACTCCTGTATGGTATAATTACCTATAGATTGGTATACTTTCATCTGATCCAATTCTTCTTCAAGATTCAGTCTACAAAAGAGGAAATAAAAAAGTAAGAACCACAGAACAACCGCATAGAAGCTACAATAAAACCATTTAAAAAATTAAACCAAAACCATATCAATATATTACTGAGGAAAAAGCTGTCAATACCCAGGAATTAGTTCTAATTTGGTGACACTTAGCATACCTCAATACTAAGGAGTCATTTGTACAACAGCTGATTAAAATTTATAAATCTGAATTTATGAGATTCAGATATAATGTTGATTGTAACATACACTAAGAAGTTTCAGCTAGTCCTTTTTAGATAAGGAAATGCTTGAGATGGAAAAGAGACTCATAGGAGGTTGAATCCTGTTAAGAACTGAGTAAGTATTCAGTCTCAGGGGAAACCACCACCCAACCGTGTGAAGATGTATCTTACTATTCCACTTTTTCCAGCGACTATTTGAGAAACTTATTAATGAAATCTCTCCTCCTCATTTCCAGCCCTAATCTACTACTATATTATAGTTTATTCTGTAATATCAAGCAGCTAAGGTCTGTATAGCAAAATATCTGCTTTTAATTTTACTAAAATTACAAATAAAGTTGCCAGGATCCCAATGCTAAAGTTTCAAAGTCAAACTGGAAATGCTAGAATGAAAGACATTACCTTAAATGGTTCATTTATACTTGTGTTTTCTGACACAAACTTTAATTATACAGCTGTGTACTATTTTAGCAATAGGATCCCCACCTATTTTAGTCTAGGATCCTACAGCACATAGAACAGAGGGCAGTCGTTTAATATGCAGATTTTGCTTAAAATATAAACTCATATACTATACAATACACATTGTTCTAACTCTGAAGGTTGGATTGCTAATTTCCGCAGTCATTTCTGCTGCACTTTGAACAGCAGCACCTAGCTGCTTCATAGGAAATGTATGCTTTACAAAATTCCTCTAAGATAAGGCACAAAGAACATCAAGCCAAAATATCTGCTAACTTAAGGAAGGAATTTTAAAAAAAAGATCTTTCAGTATGTGTAGTATTTTAAAGCACATTATATGCTGAACACATCTCTGACTCAGTTGTAATGGATGAAGTACAACAGAAAAGAAATTTGAAAATTTAATATAACTTGCTTTGCATGACATATAAGACTCCAGCTACTTTCAGGATTACTCAGCTGATTTTCTTTGCTGTTCTTTCATTCTCCATGCCTCAGTCATGATCAATTTATGTAACAAACTACAGTGGCCTTTACCTCCACACTGTCCTAACTCCTCATAGCATGTTCACTTTTGCATTGAATGGTAAAACATTTCCTTCAAAAAACATCCTCTGATTACATAATTAAAGACCATATTCAACATTACATGCTTCCTGCTTGAACCTCTACCTTCTGAACATGTTATTTTTCAGCTTTAAAAACATTATTTGAATGTACACAAGTTTATGCATATACATACACACATGTTGCCTCCCTACACACTGACAAGCATACAATGATAATTGTGCAAGATTTTTAAAAAGACTTAACTTTTTTTTACATAAAGATTTTTTTAGGGTGATGAAAGACATAAAGAAGTAAGTAACTTACATGAAATAAGTAAAGGGATTGGTTGGTAGTCTGAGTATCTGGAGTGCTTCCAAATACATTTGTCTGTGAAATCTAGTCTCCAACTGAAATTATGTCTTATCTAAACTGGAAATATTTCAGGTAAGCCTAGACAAGAAATTACAATCTGTAATACAAGATCCAACCCATACAAGTCAATGACTGTCTCACATTAATGTTAGAAATGCCCAACTGGATTAGACCAGCACTGGGTCCATCCATCACCAGTGCTCTCTCTCCAGCAGAGGCAAAAGCAGATGCTACTCAAGAGAAAACACAAGCCTAACAGTTTCTGCAGTCTGATTACAATTTTCCATCCTGAAAGCAGCATGTAAGCGCTATCCTTTGTTTCTTCCACTTTAACTCATTCCCTCTTGCTAAAAGGGCCTTTCCTCCAACCCCACAGGAACGGAATTTCTTTATAACCTTTCATGTGAAGCCTTGTCAAAGGCAATTGGAAAGTACAGGTCAGATTACTGTTACCTCATAGTTACTGCCACCCTCTTGCAATTCCAGCAAGTTAATGAAGCGGGATTTCCCTTTACAGGAGCCACAGTGACACTCCCCCAACAAAACTTCTTTTTGTTTGGTTTGTTTGTTTTTTTTTTCCTTCTCCCCCTGCCCTTTTTCCTAAAGACAGACTGCCATCTTCCCAAGTACTGAAGCACTCAGGTTCAGTGGTCTGCAACTCCCTCTGGAGCCTGTTTTGTAGATGGGTGTCGTGGTTCAGCTAGAATAGGGTTAAGTTTCCCCAGCAGAGAGGGGGAAGGGATCTCCAGCTGACATCAGGGCCGGGGGCGTGCGGGAACTTTTTTCCTTGGTGGCTTTGGTGGCAGTGAGCACATGGCGGGCTTGTTCCATAACCACTGCAGTATTTCTCTGTATATCTTTTGTCTTGCTTACTGTTATTGCTGTTTATTGTTGTTATCATTGCTACTGTTGTTGATCACTCTTTTGTATTAAATTTCTTCTTATTTTAACCCGGGGTTTGTGCCTCACTTCCAGCCTGACCGGCTGAGGGTGGGGGAAGGGCAACAGCAACGTGGTCTCCAGTCCCGGCAGGGCCTAAACCACCACAATGGGAGTTACAGTGGCAATGTGCCAGTCCACTGGCACAGTGGCTGTTTATGATGAGGTTACAGTTCAATAATTTCATACTCGAGTCTCTTCACACTGCTCGAGGTGTGAAGATATTAACAAATAACTTATCTGCTTGACCTCATAATTACTGTACAGTTACTTCAAACAGTTCGAACACCTTTGATGTATCTGCTACAAAGAACTCCTGATTTGTTGGCATCTTCTTTGCATCTGCAGCAGGGAAGATTGATGCAAAGATTCACTGAGCTGTTCTTTTATGGCCTTGTAAACCTAGTGTATCATTTTACACTGTTATCATTAAGCAAACCTACAAATTTCCTAACTGGTTTCTTTTTCACTTTATATAGCAAAATTTTACTACCACAGCTTAAATATCTGAAAATCACACTTCAAAATCTTTTTTAGCCTTCTCAATTTTCCACTTCCATTTGTCCTGCCACTGTTTATTGGCATACCTGTTCTCAACAATGCAAGCTTAAGTTTTAAATTCTAACCTTTTCTCTTTGAGGGCCACAAAAGCTTCCCCACTGAGTCTTTAGAGAACACTTTTTAAAGACTGTTTTGGGGTGGGTGTTGTTTTGGGCTTTTTTAAATTTTACTTTTTAAATTGTAGCACATATTTCAGATGGGTTTCAACTACAGTACCTTTCTTAACAGTCTCTAACTGTTCACAGGCTTTCCATACTGCTTGTTCTAGAGTTTGGGGGGTTGCAGGTTTTTTGATTATATGGTTCCCTTTCTGGAAAGTGAATATCAATATCCTCAGCCCAATTGATTTGGTCCACTCTCTTCTGATATTATTTAAATCTAATTAAAAAAAAAAAAGAAAAAAGAGGGAAACATTGTCATGAACCTATCTTCATATAGGATGAGATGTGGGGAAATATAGGCCTCACCTTTTATTCTAAGAAAGTTACAGAGCAAATCATCCTGGAAATCTTATCCAGTCACCTAATTGACACGAAGTGATTTGAAACAGCTAGCATGGATTTACCAACGAAAAATCTTGCTTTATTAACCTGACTGTCTTTGTAAAGAGATGACATGGCTGTAAGAATAAAGGGAGAGCAGGCAGCGGTGTATACCTTGAATTTGGCAAGGCATTTGAGATGGTCACCCACCTCCTTATTGACAAACAGTTGAGATCTGAATGGAAAAGTAGGTAAGTTGGCTTGAAAATTGGCTGGACTGTTAGGCTTAAAGTGTGGAGCCCAACTGGCAGCTAACAATTGAAAGCATCCCTCAGGGATCTATATCAAAGCCTGTTCTGTTTAATGTCTTTATTAACAATGTCAAAGATGGGTTAGAGTGCCTCTCAGCAAGTCCACTGATGATATAAAACTTAGCGGAGGAACCGAGACAGTCACTGGAGGGCTGGACCACTGTTCAGAGACACCTCATTGGCAGAAAAAACGGGCTGATGGGAACTTCATGAAGTTTCCCAAAGTTAAACTCCTGTCAGAATAACCCCTCATAACAGGATGTTCTAGGAGACCAACTGCTTAGACAGCAGCTTTGCAGAAGTGGGTTCCTTCTGAGTAAGAAGTTGAACATTAGATAGTGAAATGCCTTTGTGGCAAAGGATAAAAACATGCCAGTTGTATAGACAAGAGTATAGTCAGTTGGTTTACAAAATTTATTCTATTCAGCACTTCTGAGACTTTATGTGTGGCTGTGTCTTGTTTTGGGCTCCTCCAAGAAAGACACTGATCTGCTAGATCGAGTAACAACAAAGTCAGGGGTTGAGCACACAAATTACGGTAACAGGGTGAAAGACCTGGGTTTATTCAGCACTAGGAGAAGGGAAGATGTTATTGGTGTCTACCTAATACAACGGCATCAAAAAAAAAAAAGAGCTTGACTTTTCCCAGAGGAGTACAGTGGATGGTACAAGAGCCAATGAACACAAGTTAAAATATATCAAATTCCAACTAGATATAAAAAGAAACTGCTCATTAAGCTGGTCAAACACTGGAACAGTTGCCCAGAAAGTTTCTGAAATCTCTATCCTTGGTCTCCATCTCCTCCATCCTTTGTCACAACTTGACAAGATCTTAAGCCACCTTCCAAAATTGCCACTGCTTTGAGCAGCAGGCTGGAGAATACAGCTTCCAGAGGTTCCTTCCAAGCTGCACAATTTTGTGTTTCTCATCGTATTGAGATAACTATTACAGAGAGGCTTTCTCTCTAATACTTCCTGAACTTAAGTTCTGTACACCACTCAAAATCCAGAACAGGATTTTTCCTTTTGGTTTCTAAGATTGATTGCTCTAGAAAAGTTACTTATTCCACAAAAATTTATATCTCTACATCTTGCCTT